TTTCAGCAAGGCCTTCAGTCAAATATTTTCTTGACAGAGTAGTTCACTATTTTTCAGATATAAATTAATGATTTGCCATTTTTTCTATATTGCCTTTTATTTACAATAGTTTATGTCATATTTGTACGCATTTTCACAGTCTTTATATTACATCTTTACCTATTTTCATAAAACTAACAATTATAATTAAGGGAATTTGAACAAAATCTTTTTAATTTGAAATCGCATTGAAGGGCTAAAATCAGTGTCATAGGCTTGCATATACTGAAAGAGTTTTGATTCTTCCTGTAATTTAATATACTAAATTATTCAGAAGAATTTATACTAGTTTATGCCCAAGTTTAATTAATGATATTATTTGTTTATTGTATACATTTATAGGACGCTTACATAGTTTCATGTACTTGTTTTCTTATCCACTTTTACTTATTCTTAAATTTATCGTTTGTCTTTATGCAGGGATTATCTGAAAAGTTGTGAAGATTAGGATCGTATAGTCTTTAGTATGATCGTGGTCTCCTTTCATTGTATGGAAGTGATTTGACCTTGTTTCTGCAACCTTATATTGTCACGGAGACCTAGAGGCACTTTGTCCGGAGTCCATAGTATCCATAATAATTTTCAGCATCGAGCTTAGCTGTTGTGTGGTGCTAAGACTGGCAAGGCTCACTGACGATGGCGATGCGCCAATTCCACGGTTCGAACATGAAAATTAGCATGTATATTATGGACTCCGGACAATGTGTGTTCCTCTAGACACCCCTTACAATACGATCAAGTTGCGAAAAACACGGTCAAAGTAAATCCTTTTTCTATTCTATTAATTTTGTTTTACTCATTTAAGGATACTTAAAAGCTTGTGTTGTACTTAGATTCTTTTTTAGAATTATAGTTTCTCCTTTAAATGGACAAAATAAACTTAAATAATGGATTAACGATGCCTTCACTTGGACTTGGAACTTTTAAGGTATCAAATACCTTTAAAATAAATCAAAATCTTATATAACCTAAATAATTGGCTTAAGTCTTGCTTCATTCACATTATATCCTAGACAAATTCAGTCGAAGGTGAATGGGCTATTGAGGCAGCGATTGATGTTGGCTACCGGCACATAGATACAGCTTTCTATTATGGCAATGAAAAAGAAGTAGGAAGGGCTGTAAGAAGCAAAATAAAAGAAGGCGTAATCAAACGAGAGGACATCTTTATTGCCACCAAGGTAACTATTTCTTGAATGCTCAGTAGTATACATCCTGCCATAATGCTAAAAAATTAAACTCTTGATAATTTTCCAAATTATCTTAGCTATGGCCTACATTTGCAAGACCAGAAAACGTGAAGCTAGCTTGCAAAAAATCACTTGAAGCACTTGACATGGATTATATCGACTTGTATTTGGTTCATTGGCCAGTACAATTTAAGGTGAATCTCATAGATTCTTAGCGCAACTAACTATACAAAACATATTTGCTAATCAAATTATATTTCGTAGATTACTTGAAAAGCCATTACTTTAATTTAACTAATTTATTTCTAGCCTGGGGACGAACTTCTTCCTGAGACTGACGTTTATGATAGTATTGAGCTTGAAGTTACTTGGAAGGTAGGCATATTCATTATTTTTTTAAAATAGCTATTATATTTTAGTTTAGCCTTAATGGGTATTATCTTTTGTATTGGATAACTAATCAGTGTTTTTTCTATTTAGGCCATGGAAAATCTG